GCAGGAATTGGGGGCATATAGAAGAGCGGCACGGTGGACGCCATCAAAGTATCAGGGAAACTATTTAAGATTCAGAAATCAAACGTGATAAAACTAGGCAGGGTTTCTTATGATTGCAAAAGTGGTCAAAGAAACGGGGCCCAGGCTGAACTCTGGTGAGATGAATAACTGGCCAGACAAGCACCCTGTGGGCCATCCTTGGGCTTCTACTGAACGGCTTCTTGATTCTACGATGGCTTTTGATTTTCCACCGAGAGCTCTTCTGTGGAGGACCTAAAGATTCGGGTATAGTGGATTATGTGTTGGGCTGCTAATTGTAAGGTCAGCAGTTCGAAACCAAGAGCCTCTCCACAAGAGAATGATATGACTTTCTACTCCTATAAAGATCTGTGGTCTCAGAAACCCACAGGCTCACTTGAACCCTTTCCTAGCTAGTTGATGTGTCCGAATCAAGTGAGTGGTTTGCGTTTTCTTTGGAAGAAGCCGAAAGAGAGCTGGGCGAGTCCTGCACAAAAGGAAGAGGAGATCTTGAAAGAGCCTTGAGAAGCCGCACAGCGGGGCAGCAGGTGGTTCCAGCTCCCCTGCCCACGGCATCTCCTCAGCACTCCGCCTAGGAGCGGCCCGCATCAATGTACATGCATGCGCGTGCGTACTTACCCGATCTATAATCCACACACTCTCCTTGTTCTTTCCTTTTCAGGGACTTTTAGAGTATAGCTATTAATTACGGCTTCCGGGAATTTTCTTAGCACTGAGAAGAAACAAAAGGATTTGCATATTACATAGATTATACTTCAAGATTCTCAGCCTCCACATCTTGCATTTATGAAATGCGATACCAGAAGGGAAAGGGGGTGTAGAAAGGGGGAATTGATTACAGGGAGCTACATATAACCTCCTCTCTGGGGGACGGGCAGCAGAGGGGTGGGTGAAGGGAAACGCCGGGCAGTGTAATATAAGATACAATAATAATTTATAAATTATCAAGGGTGTATGGGGGAAAGGGGAGGAGGAAGGGAGGGGAGGGGAAAAAAGGAAAATGAGCTGATTCCGGGAACCCAAGAGGAAAGCGAATTTTGGGAATAATGAGGGCAACAAATGTATAGATGTGCTTTACACAATTGATCTATGTATTGTGATGAATTGTATTGTGATGAAATGAGCCCCAATAAATTGATTAAAAAATTACTATTCCATAAAAGCAGATTTAGTTAATGATAATGACTGGTTAAAAAATAAAAGGTGGTCCTGGAAAACTAGTAACAGCCTTGTTAATAACCAAACAGATTTTAATTATCTTAGAATTGTCCTACAAAGACTAAAAATGTATTACTTTTCTTTATACCATCATCTGTACTTTATAACTACATTTAGTCGATAGACAGGAAAAAGACTCAAATAAAGAGTTTGTCTCAGAAACTCACAGGGGCAGTTCTACCCTGTCCTATAGGGTCACTATGAGTCAGAATGGACTCGGTGGCAGTGAGTTATTGGTAGTTAACAGGTACTGTGTGTTTATTGATCTCTTTCTGTGTACTCGTGTGCTGTGGAGAATTCTAGAGAAATATATATCTTTGCCATTTTAAAAACAGAGACTGATTGGCAAGATCAAAGTTACATATATGAAATGGGAAATATCAACACTACATAGAAAAGTGATAAATGACATTATACAGGAAATATATTTAACTTACATATAAAACTTATTCCCAAAATAAATCATTATAATTTATAAAATGGAAATCAGAAGATTGATGAGCTCCCTGAATCAAACCAATGTGTTTATTGATTGAAGCTATACTAGCTATACTGTAGGATAAAATACAACTATTTGGTGTAACACTCAAAAGTTTTCAGTAGCATTAAAACAGAGGATTATAGGCATAATTACAATAGCTTTTATTGCTAACTCTGACTTGAATGGTTAAAACCTTAGAATTGGAATTCCCTTTTGATTCCACTTTAAGCTTTATCTGGTTTTAAATGTTTTCCCCAAAATTGGGGCTTATCTTTGTTGTAATTTTTGTTATTGGCAGTGCTCTTGCCTATGTTACGTATCGGTCTACGTGACACCCAGGTCGGGTGAAGCTACAGAAGCAATAACTAGAGCAAGGATTCTTGGAGGGTAGGACAGGGGAGGGCGAGTAATGAGTTCATGTCAAGGGGTCCAAGAAGGAAGAAAATATTTTGAAAATGAATGTGGTAGTGATTGTACAATACTGCTTGGTATGACTAAACTATTGAAAGGAATGATGCCTGGATTATATCCTAATAAAATAATTTTAAAAATTACATCATAGAGAGACATTGTTCAAAATAAAATAAAGCCTCACAAAATCATTTTCAATGTCTGACATTCACAATCCAGAGGCAGCAGTGTGTCTCATTTTCTGGGTAGTCTTTGTTTTGTCTGGGTTTTGTCTGATGCTTCAGCGTAGGAATCTCATTATCATTACTGAGCTAGGGACTCTTCCTTTGCGATGAGTCATCTCGATCCTAGGACCTGGAGCTACTTAGTGTGGAGAAAAGTGATTTTGGAATTAGAAAAATGAATGTCCAAATTTCAGCTCACATTTTCCTTATGCCTCTGTTTTCTAATCTATTGTATAACAATATTGATAGTTAGACCTCATCATTATGATTTTATAGAAATTAGATGAATAGATTTATATCTATTATAATTGTTAGGTGCCATCAAGTCACTTCCAACCCACAGAGACTGTGTGTAATAGAACTGAACACTTCCAGTTCCTGTACCAGCTTCAAAATTGTTGGTGTGCTTGAGCCCATTTTTGTAACCCATCTTCGTTTCATCTCATGCAGGGCCTTCCTCTTTTGCACTGTCCTGCACTTTACCTCGCTTCATGTCTTTCTTAAGAGACTGATCTCTCCTCACAAAATGTCCAAAGTCTGTAAGATGGAGAGTGACTCGCCATCCTTGCCTCTAAGAACTACTCTGGCCATACTTCTTCCAAGACAGATGGGTTTGTTCTTTCAGCAGCATGTAGTACTTTCAGTATTTTCTCTAGTACCACAATTCAAATGCCTCAGTTCTCCTTTGGTCTTCATATTCAGTGTCCGATTTCCACGTGCATATGAGGCAATTGAAAATACCGTGGCTTGGATCAGGCGCACCTTAGTTCTCTTACATTCTTGCTTTTCAATCCTATGAAGAGGTCCTGTACAGCAGATTTGCCTAATGCCTGAAATTATACATTAGTAAAATGTATTTAAAACAATCACGCGGGCTTCTTGAATGCAATTGTAGCCAGTGACATTGGCATTCAGTACTCTTTGGGAACAAACGGTTCACAACTATCCAACAATAACCTTACACTAACCCCTGTTTCAAGATGCCCCTTAATAATATCTAGAATTATGTTTATAAATAAGTGTAGAAATTTACAAGCTCCAAAACTCGGTCTTTATCAGAGTAGAACGCCTCATTTTTCTCCTATGGAACATCTGGTGGTTTCAAACTGCTTACCTTGTAGTTCACATTCCAATGGGTAATCTACTATGCTACCAGGTTTATATCGGTTCATCTAATCTTCAAACCACCTTTTAGGAAGATATTGAGTATCATTCCCATTCAACAGGTTAAAGTGAGGAAAATGATTCAAATGCATAGTAACTTGTCTCCAAGCCACCCATCAGGAAGTTGCTGAATTACCCCAATCATAAATCAATCCTTTTTTGAGCCTAACTTGAATGTAGGCCTTCAGATGTCAAATTTCATGTATTTTTCAGCAGCATTTTCTTGTTATTTTGTTGTTTTTCTCTCTTCCTCTCTCTCACTGTGTGTGTTTGTATGGTTTTCTGAATATACCTTGAACACAGAGTTGACCCACCATGTAGATATGTCAACCAGGATTACAGTCATCATTCATTTTTGGTTAAAAATGGAATTTTTGTTTTATAGAATCTGCTAGAGTGCCATTTGTTTAAACATTTGATTTGGAGTCGATAGGCACAGATGGGCATTAGAAAGCTGTTAACTCTGTTAACTCTAAAGGGCACAGCTAATGAAATGTCCCAAAAGTTGAGCACTTGCCAAAACCACTGTGTTGTAGAGGACAGCTTTTGATTAATCATGATGAGAGTATTTCCTCTATCTAAGTGAAATCTCTAATTTAGGAAGGAGATTTAAGACCCTTTGGGGGATGAAGGGAAAGTTGCTGGGAAAATTCTAGAAACTGAAAAATAAAGATAGGTCTACTCAATATTCATGAAGTCAGATTGGTTGGTGCAAATAGAAATTGTAATCTCTTATTTTCTAATGACTTGACTTATAGTAGCCCTATACTGATCATACTCAGATTCCTATTCCATTTTTAAATGAATGATTATAGTTGTGTACAAGATATTTTTTAGAAGAAAGTTTCATTTACCCAATTTTATTTTCTGCTACCTCTGACTAATTTTCTACCTGAAGATTGCCAATGTATGTAATCAGCAAGCATGTAAATTACTAAGCAAAGATATGATGCAACATGCATAATAGGAAATGTATATTTAAATTGCCACTAAGTAAACTCTTCTATTTTGCATTGAACATAACCTGCTCTCAAAGGGAATTTTAAAGAGAAGAGCTATAAATACCAGTTGAGGTTTTATTTTGCTTCCTTTAGAGAGAAATCAAAATTCTTTAGCAAAGCCCTTACTGCTTTATAAAGAAAGATTTAAAAATTTAACTTTCACCCTATTTATTAGAAATCCTTGCTTCCTACACATCACACATCTACACCTCCTACACTCTGGAATGAAATTTAAGAGGAACGTCATTGTAAGTCTTGTTGCTTAACGTATTTCATTTCATTATGTGAACAAATGTAGCAGACAAATATTCTGAATGGGCAGCACAGAACGCTCGGAACCATTTCATTTGGAGTCTGGATAGTAGGGCTACAAGGATGCCAGTTGAGTTCTCTGTGAAAGAGCTAGCAGATCCTGGCTTGCAACAGATCGTGTTTTACATTTTCCCCTGCTTCTTCTTTCAGGCCAGTCCTGCTCCTATAATCGTCAACACAGATACGCTGGACACGATTCCTTATGTAAGTAACACTTCTATGAATCTTTTCTTTAAAACCTATGATATCATTTCATCTGTTGATATTTAAAGTTCTCTAGATATATGTGTTTCCCTGGGTCCAGATAGTCTTAGGAATGACATATAAAATGGGTGTTCTGAGTTTTCTTTAGACATTTGCTAAATCTCTGCTTAGTCATGCAAATAATTCCCTTTCACTCATTGTTTCATAAAAGCTTATCATGTGAAAAATAAACAAAACAAAGATCTTTCTGTTCCAATCATGTGAATTTCCTGCTGATTCATTGAGAAGAAAGAACTTCCTTATGGCACAGATGGACAGACTCATCAGGGCTTCCGCAAAACTCAGATCAATTTCTATAGCAGTGGTGAGAACATAAATGATGGATAAATATTTGTTGGTTTTGATAGTGGTTTAAGTAGAATTCGAGCAAAAATGTTGGCAAGAGTACAGTCTGACTCTGTGGTGCTATTTATGTGTTTGTTACAACTTGGAGCTCATGAGATGCTAGTATGAGCAGGTCCGTAGAGCCTGCGGATCTGGTCTGATGACCCAAGTTCTAGGTGGGGCAGATTGGAATTATGGACTCGACCCATGTGATGGAATGGTTGTCATTATGGGGGGGGGGCGATTAACAAATCTTTGTGAGTAGATCTGAACTAATGAGTAATGGATGGGGCTTTGGGCGATGTGACCATTATAGCTCGTGCCCAGGGGCATTGAAGCACAGAGTGGGACTGCAGAACATCCAGGTTCCTGGACTCTGCTCCAGTGCACTCATAGAAGTGAACCACACAGAGCAATGCCTGGTACAAAGGCTCCTTGTCAGCCCACTGTGAGGTCACAACCGAAAATGCTTGTAAGGGGCTCACCATTCACAGAAACTAGTGAAGCAGGTGGCACGAGGCTTGGGAGTCGAGAAGACCCTCTAATGGACAGCTGACACTTGTGTCTGGTGAGTTGTTGTCTTGGAGGAATGGGACCTGGTGTTTTCAGATTGCAGATTGCCCAGTGTTTCAGACCCAAATGGGTGTTTTAGCTAACATTTCACTCTTTGTTAAATGCAGGCAACTAGCTTGCAAAAAGAAAGTTCAAACACAGTGTGTCAGATGAAATGTGTCTAGTCCATAGGTTGCCCATCCAGAGCTGTGTGCTTCTAAGAAACTGAAGGTCCTGAGCAGGTTTGCAAACAAGATCTCTCAGCCACAGGGGAATAGGCTGCCAGAACAGGAGTACATGTTCTTGGGACTTGATTACAGGAACAAGTGACTAAAAGTGGGACACAAGGCCAAGACGAGAATAACAACAAGCTTGACTTAATATTGAATCACTTAAACTCCTGAATTAGAGCTTCTTAAATTTTTTCTGAACAAGAGCAATGTGGGCCAACCAAGAAAGGGGGCTAACTTTACAGAGAAGAATCAGTGTTCCGGCTATGGGAAGTGAGAGGCTATGTAGAAGTAAAGAATGCAATTCAATGCACTCAAAGCTTGTGAGAAAAAGAAAACTATACTCACTGCCGCTGAGTCGATGCTAACTGATAATGACCATATAGGACAGAGTAGAACTGCTCTGTGGTTTTGAAGACAGTGAATCTTTATGGGAGTAGACAACTTAGTCTTTCTACCCTGGAGCAGCTAGTGGTTTTGAACCACAGACCTTGCTGTTAGCAGCCCAGCTCATAACCATAGGTAGATAGTAGCAACTATTCCATTTCTGACTCTTCTGGCTTGTTTTGCTTATTCAGCATTTATGTTGGGGTTGCTGTGTGACTGACTATATTCAAGCACTTAACAAATATTAACTCACACCATCCTGAGATTGATATAGTTAATATTTCTATTTATATACATGGAAAATATTTTTTAAGTCATTTTCTAAGGTCTCACAGTAAAAAAGCAGAGGAAAGATCTGAACCCATCTGCCTCTGGGATTCAATTGCCTATAATGTTGCCCAATGAGCCTTGTTGGCGCAATGGTTAAGGCATTGGGCTCTTCCCCAGAGGTTGTTGATTAAAACCTACCAGCCGCTCTCAAGGAAAAAACTGTGATCGTATGTTTCCGTACAGACTGACAGCCGTGGAAACCTCATGAAGCAGTTCTACTCTGTCCCAGAGCCTTGCAATGAGTTGACTTTGGACTGACAGCAGTGCTTTTGATTCTGGTATCATATTGACACATGTTTATTTCTTTGTTCCCTGCTTTTCTGCCTCTTATCCTAGAACTGGAGTCGCTTACTTATTCTTCTGATACACAAGGAAGCTTCAAAAACTTCATGGGAAAATAGCATTATCTTTTAGTTCCATGTTTCTATGAATGTTTTGAAGCCTCATATTTGGGTTTGGGTAGGAGACAACTTGTCATACAGGTTTCAGAAGTTTTAGAGAAGAAAATATAGAGAGACATATACCTATATACATACATATACATATGTAGCAGAATTACTTTATATATATATACATATATACAAACATATACATATATGTTTGGCTAGCAGAATTACTAGCCAATTACTAAAGTAATTCTGCTAGCCAAACAAATCCCTTTATGGTAGCTGTTAGCCAAGCTGATGAGTAGTACTTTGAAGGAGTGACACGGTGCACGCAGGCTTGATTTTTAAAGTAATGACTGCTTCTTTGTGGTAGGTCTATATTATTAAAAGGGCATTTATTCATAGCACCCATGTCTTCCCTGCTAGCTGCCTTCGTGCACAAATGAATTGCCAATAGGACCTAAGAATTCTGCAGAGAATTAATCACTGGGCATGCCTATTAATCAGTTACAAAATGAGCATCAAATCACAAATTCATCAAATTGCCCCCTTTCTGCCAAATGTCAGTTTTATATCTGATTTTGTGTGCTTTGAAAACTTAAAGTTTTTTTTAAATCTTTAGCTGATTGTACTTGATTCAGCCATCCTTACACTTCCTTAAGAGTTGGGAGCTTTAGGGTTTTCTAAGTAGCTTGGTCTGGTGAATGAGTTGCTCCCCCGTGCGTTGACAGTGTGTCCTTGAACAGGTCATCAAACTTGTCTGAGACTAAACTCATCTATATAACACAAATTGTAATACTGACATCAGAGCTCATTGTTGGAGTCAAATATCATTATGTATGAAATTATGAAATCATCATGCTTAGCTTTTGGTTGGCAGTGATTTCTTGTTTTATTTAATCAATAAAATTTTAAAAATACTTAATAAACTACATGCTCTAGACCCTTGGGTAGAGGTGGCAAATATGAATATATTTTACCACATAGAAGAAACATGAATATATTATATTTTAGAAATGGCAGATTCATAATTTAGCCATTAATGTAGATCTGTTTTGAGTCTTGGCATAGGATCAAGTCTCCCTTTGGTTCCTGACTCACTGGGTAACCTTGAGCAAATCACTGTTCCTTTTACAGTCTATTTTCTCATTCCCCAGTGTTCTATACTTTGTTTTCTCTTTTCCTTCTTATGTTCCAGTTAGCATAATTTCAGCTCTATTTAATGAAAAAACAATTTCAGAGTTCCCCAGGGCATTGTAGTCATATTACATCGGAACATTTCCTTCTTTCAAAGCATTACCTAAATGACAACTTTTAGCTTATATATTAAAATCGCCTCAATAAATAATTTCATTACGAGTAAATGTATTATTACTATTACTTTTTTTACTGATTAGCAATTTGACTTTTAAAATATAAGTCCTTACAGGAATGGTTTCTTGGCATACATGAAAATGTGATTAAATAGAGGAAATCTGTGGATCAAAGAGAATGTTTAAATGTAATAAAAGTACAAAAGATGGTTACCAGGATGTCCCATCTGTTTACAAAGTAATTTAAGGGACATTTGAGGTCTTAAGGTAACTGCCTTAAATGAAGGATTCACAGGTCCTTTCCTGTAAATGCCCTAAATAAACTCAGTCTTATATGGTGTGTTGACCTTTCAGGATTGGGAGAAGATGTGGGACATTCTGCAGTCTCTTATACCAAGAAGGAATTCTCTGTATGATGATTAGCAGTGACCCAAGGAGAAGGGAAACGAACTCAAGAAACAAACAAACAAAAAAAAACTCCCTATTTCCCCATATTAGTGTTTTCCAGTTTCAAGTGTTAAGTCAAATCTTTTTATCCAGGGGGCTTCAAAAATGCATGGAAAACTGGAATTAAAATAACGGAATTTGAAGGCCCCTCATATGTTGAATATTAGGCCAAACCAAGATAATTAAGCACTTGCCCCAAGTTGATGTTGCCCCAGTGAACCTGAAGGATGGACTGAAATTACCCCCAGAGGATCCAAGGCTATGAATCTTCATGAGAGACTGCCAGCTCTTTCTCCCCTGGAGTCACTCATGGGTTTGACCTGCCAGCTTTTTTGGTTAGAAGCTAAATGCTTTAAACACTGTGCCATTTGTCATATGCCAAGTATTGTAAATTTTATGGCCTTTAAAAGGTCAGAGTAAAATATACCAAAACCAAACATACTGCCATGGAGTCCATTTTGACTCAGCTTCACCATGAGTCAGCGCGAGCAGAGCTTGCTAATGAGCTCGAAGACCAGCTTCCTGAAAGCTGACGTAGCGAAAAGCTAGCATGCTGCCCTTCGGTTACACTACGGCCCACTGACATGGTGTCCCTCCTTTATAGATAGGCAGCTTCTTACAGGACACTTTCAGAGTTCTTTCCTGACCCCATCCAAACAAATCTTTTCCTTTCTACCTTAGAAAAATAAAATCAATCCAATAAATTCTAGAAAACCTTTTTCTCCATTGGCCTCTGGCATTCACTTCATAGTTCAATTACATTCAGGGTTAAAAAAAAAAAAAGCATTGTCAATAGGGGCATGGGTACATTCAGGAATAACAAACTTTAAATCTCACTATGGAACATAAAGTTCAATTCATATAAACACAGCACCCATTTTGCAGATACCAGTATCCTAGTTCAACTAGTATGCGGCAGAGCTTGGACTAGAAACTCCAGTGAACAGTTAATTTTTGGTGTGTAATCAACA